TACGTTCGTAGCATACACTCCCTGTTGGACTCTGACCAGGAGCAGCTGGAGATTTACTCTAAGTTGTGAGGAACAGCGTACACAACTTATCCATTCATTCGTTCTTCAGGGTGGATTTCTGGTTTTATCTTCACTAGTTTAATAGCAATTGGTTTGCCAGTCCGCCAGTCAGATGAAACTTCAAATTCAACATCATCTCCTACTTTTAAGTCCTCCAGGTTGCCGTTATATTGTGAACAGTGGAAGAAAAGTCTACCTTGACGTTCTGAACACTGAATAAATCCGTAAGAGGTTAACAGTTTTTCAGTAACCCCAGTTTCACGAAGTGCTGCTGAAGTGCCACTGGGGAACCCATTATGTCCGTTGTTCTGGAGAAGGTTTGGATCAAAGCTCATCTCGCAGTGATAATCAAATATTGCACTTTCAGTAGTATTAGCTGATTCTTCTTTTTCAGCACAAGTTTCAAAGGGTGAAAGTTGCTAGTATTTAAAAAAAAAAAGCGAGAGAAAATGATCTACCAAGCTAATAAAGAATACAATTGCTGCTGCACCGAGCAATCTCACAGTACAGCACTGAAGAAGACAAAGACTACTAGCAGCATTGGGAAGTGCTCTTTCAAAGCTGTTGAGTAGGTACAAACTTCTTGTTTCAGGTCAAGTGTTGTGTCTTCAACTTAAGTGTACTCTTCTTTGGTCTTGTTGGTTGTTACGAAGTTTGTTCTTTCCCTGATCTGAACTTGAAGCTGCAGTTTCAGGTGGTAAGGTCTGTTCTGTTACACTTCATACCCAACAACTCAGCGCCCCCTCTCCAGCACGGCCGTAAGCAGCACGGCCCAGTACATAGCTACCCTATATATTTTAATGGGATATGTAAATCATTCATTTCAGTCATTTTGAGCGCCCCTTCTGTGGCTCATGCTGTATGTGAGAGTTGAAGGTGGTGTGTTCCCTGAAGCACACTGAACTTGAATGCAAAGAGACCTTACCCTTTTCCTAGCTGAGAGCAAAAGACAAAGGATTAAATTCTCCATAGTTTTCAAGTAGCATCCTTCATTTAGCACTAAAAAGAAATCACCTGTCCTTGGTTTGGTACTTTCATCCTAGCCCATTGGAGGTTTTATAGGGTACTTCCGAGGAAGAACTACAGAGGTTAGTTGATTCAGAGTCTTAATTGCACTGGACCTTTTTTGTAAGTTCATGTTCCGTTCATGTTAACGCTGGCCTTGTCACTGGGAGAGGACGAACCTTGGGTCAGAGTCAGTTCAGATGAAGTTGTGTGCTCACAGTGATTCTGTACAGGCGTAGGACTCCAACTCCTTGTTTTCGGTTGTCATGGCTACTTATTTACTTGTAGAAATATATGGGGTTTTTTCTTTTTTTTGGTACCAGGGATCGAACTCGCGTCCTTGCACTTACGCAGCAGGTGACGAAACCACTGAGCTAAATCCCCGGCCCTATATGGGTTTTTTTCAAAAATAGAAATTATTCTTTTGTTTGGTTGGTTGGTTGTTGTTGTGGTTTTTTTTTTTTTTTGGTGCCAGGGATTGAACTCTGGACCTTGAGCTTTCAAGATGGGTTGTGGAACCACTGAGCTAAATCCCCAGCCCTAGAAATTACTCTTAAGGAAAAATAACAATATCTTTTGTTTAATCAATATCTTCCAGATGCTAGTGATTCTACTAGATGATTTTGTGCTGTTTGTAATCCTTTAAACAGTCATGTAAGACAACCTTACTAGGCCATTTTATCCCATTTCTAATATTTTCAACGAGTTGTAGAAGGTATATGATGAAATTTGTTTGCCAAATAAAGAAACCAAGACAGGTTAAAAAATTATGTAACACAATTTTTGTAATACAGGATATGTATATGAAGTACAGTTTGAAAGTTTCTCTTGGATGAGGTACAGTATATTCTATGACGGTTTACAGGATGGATATACCTTCAGCTGTAAGGCAGAAGATTTAGCAAGGTAAGAAGAGGTGGGAATTGGCAGAGGGATTCCTGGCCCAGGAAGGAGCATAGAACAAATTCCAGGAGACTGAATGTTTAGGAACGAGAGAAGTACTTTGGCTTGGTGGGAAGTAAAGGGGCTTGGAACCCTAGGTTAATGGCCAAGAAAATAATTAGTTCTTTATTATGTAAAGAATGAGTGTTGGAGACCTTTGTACAGGAAAGCCTGCCTACCTCATGAAGACTTGGCATTGTGCGCTAAAATGGATCACATCGGACAGAGTTGTTGGTGGACAAGTTTATTCCAAGGCATTGCAGTAAATAATACAAGCAAAAGATAAGAATTAGAATTATTGTATCCACAATAGAAGTGGGAAGGGAGCAGGAGAATTACACTTACACAACAGTGCTTACTATGGGCAGACACTATCCAAGAGCTCCTTGTCAGTTTATTCAGTTCCCACACAATGTTGCTATGAGATGAGTCCTATTTCCCAGTGTTACAGATGAGGAAATCAGGACTGACTGAAAGACAGTACTCGTTGCTAGGCTTGTTAAATTATGAGAATCCCTACACAGTGGAATACCATGAAGCCGAAAATTTACACCACTGTGAAAAGATGTTCAGCGTATATTAGTCCAGATTTAGAGTAGAGACAGTATGTCTCATTTTTGTTCTACTTTGGAAGAATATGTGCTGATTATAAATTTTAAACTTCTTCTGAAGTTTGAAAAAAATTTGCCCCCCCCCCCGGGATAGATGTCATTAGTAGCTTGATAAGTACCCTTCTGGCTACCTTCTTATGCATATATAAACATAAGTAGCTGCAAAGGACAGTGTTACTGTTTCTTCTTCTTACTGATATTTTCTACTTAAAATATCTGAGTACAAAGTATATATATTTTTTGTTTGTTTTTGTTTTTGTTTTTTGTTTTGGGGGGTTTTTTTGGTACCAGGGATCAAACTCTGGACCTTGCGCTTGTGAGGCAGGCGGTGGCAACACTGGGCTAAATCCTTGGCCCCCAAAGTATATTATTTTTATTATCAGAGATCGAACTCGGGACCTTGCGCTTTCGAGGCAGGCGGCGGAACCACTGAGCTAAATCCCTGGCCCTAATTTTTATTTATTTATTTTATTTATTTTTTGATACCCAGGATTGAACTCAGGACTTGTGCTTGAAAGGCAGGCATGATGCCACTGAGCTAAATCCCTGGCCCTCAAAGCGTATTATTTTTAAGTGCCTGTATTTGAGTCCACTGTACCCTGTAATTTTGGGGTGAAATCAGAGATGTGAAATGTATCTGTGGAATAAAAAAATGGCACTATGGAAGAAAATTAATGACATCTGTGGAAGAAACACACCAAATTTAAATAGAGCTTTTATTCACTGTTTCATGAAGTGACAGAACAAAAATAATTCTTGGGCTGCAGAGCTTCCCATTGTGACACGTTGCTTCAGTGCATATCATCTGTGGGACATTTGTTTGGTTCACAGAGTAAAAATTTACTGAAAAGCATTAAGAATGTTTACTTAGCTTGTGAATAAGAAACAAAAAATAAAGGATCAACTGTTAATCCACACTCAGTTGTTCATTTTATGAATTAATCATGTCCTTTTGCTATGTTTGTTTTCCCATCTTCCCTCTCATACTACATAGAAATATTTCCACCAAAAAGTTAAATGTGAAGAACTCTTGTTGCTTACTGTCAGCTCTGGTAAATAAGGTAAAACTAATGGTGCACCAAAAATTTGGATTATCTTTGTCTTGGATCAAGGATTTTAGTTTTGTACTGTTTCAACTTAAGCAAATGTAAAATTCTATTTCATTCAACTTCTTAATTTTTGGTCTGTATTAAAAACTCTTTTGCTAAGCAAGTATATAAAATTAGATGCTTCCCAACAAACATCAGTGGATGTGATAAGTTATTCGTAGTTGTGGATAATTTTATGAAATCCAGATGCTTGTATGATAGCATGCATCTAACAACAACTGCCTTCTCGCCTGCAGTATTTGCACATTGGGAGTTGTGGTTGGGGTGGGGATCAGGTGTGAGAGAGGTAGCAGCAAACCAAGACAGAGAGAGGATGTGATGAAGTATAAATGTGCAAACAGAAAGGATTTTCTTCTGTCAGTTTGGCAATCCCATGAGGCATCCACCAGTGAAATGGGGGAGTGTCTCTTAGGCGCCTATGAGTACAGGACCGTGACTCTCCGAGCTGCAGAAATGGCGGCTTCAGTGGGGAAACGTGCCACGAGTAACTGCGTTCGGGAAAACCAGCAAGAATTTTGGCTAAGAGATGAGATCTGAGTGGGCAAAGAGAATAAGATTAGAACAGTCCTGTCCAGTAGGACTTTCTCTAGCAGTAGAAATGTCCTACATCTATGCTGTCCACATCCATGGCTGCTGAGGCCTTGAAATGTGGGTAGTGGAATGGAGGAACTGGATTTTACCTTCTGATCAGTATAAATGACCGTGCCTGGCTGGACAGTGCCTTTCCAGACTGCGTCTCCCCTTTCCTCTTACCCACTCCTCCTCCCAAGGGAGACACAGCCACTCTTTCAGTGAGCATTTGGCCTGTGGAAAAGGCAGGACACATTTAACCTTACATGTGAGAACATAATAGAAGCAGAGTAGAGAGGAAACAAGATGTATTTAGCTGAGCATCAGGACCTAGGTGAAAACCAATTCGAGGCGCAGAGTGAGCTTGTGCCTTCTGGAGCTGGAGAGTGTCAGCGTGGCAGAAGACGTGCAGAAAGCTGTCTCGGGACTGCCTGAGTCTCCAGGAGCCTGTCCTGAGTAGATGTCATCAGCTACAGCCCATAGGAAATCTGCTTTTAAAAACATTCATCTGGAATTCTCTGGAGTCAAGCAAATGACGCATAATGTGACGTCTGCTTGTTTCATTTTATGTAATTGGATTAGAAACATGAAAATGGGCATTATGATTTCTGTTCTAGAAAATTCCCAGTAAAGTGTTTATACTCTTAGATTATTCCCTCATCAGAGTCAGTAAGAGAACGTCTCTTTTCTGTTCTCTTCGCAGCAACAGCGAGAGAGCTCATGCTGTCCCAGCGCTGCCCGTGGGCCCTCTTGCCATTTTTTCCAGGTTTTTTTGTTTTTTGTTATTTTTGGTACCGGCGATCGAACCCCCGGGTCCTTGCACTTGCGGGTCAGGCAGCAGAACCGCTGAGCTAAACCCCGGCCCCAGGTGATCTTTTTATATGAAAAATCATTTTCATATAGGAAATATTTCAGTATGTTTAAACAATAGAATCAATTCACGTAATCGCTTTGCTATTTTAACATAATTTTTATTTTCACAAGTTAAATTTTTGCTAACATGTTTTTCTGTGTGTTTTGTTTGCCTTTTGTTTTTTTGTGCTAAAGTTTGAACCCAGAGCTTTTGTACTGAGCTGTATCTCCAGCTGTTTTTATTTTTTGTTTTGAGACAAAGTCTCGCTAAGTTGCCCAGACTAGGCTTGAACTTGAGACCTCCTGCCTCACCCTCCCAGAGTGCAGGGATTGTAGCCATCCACCGCCACGCCTAGCTTAACAGTCACTTCTATTCAATAAATATTAGTGATTTAATTCAGATCTCCACTAACACATTGGGAAATTTATTCTGTCATTTTTTTAAACTTTACTTTCTGGGAATAGAATTTATATATCAGTAAAGGGTAATAAGAAGAGAGGATTGGCAACTCAGGCTGTGGAAAAACCTGATTTTGCAGTAGTTTATATCTTTTTAAGAATTTTAATATTTTCTTCACCCTAGATTTTTGCTTCAGTGTCTTGAGGATCTCGATGCCAATCTACGAAAATTAAATTCTCGCCTGTTTGTGATCCGTGGACAGCCAGCAGATGTGTTTCCTCGGCTTTTCAAGGTAATTTGAAGAAGTAATAATCTTTGTTCAGTAAATGGACTGCTAGTTACTTCCCAGAAGCAACTGCTACTGCCAGTTTCTTTTGTGTCCAGTTGGAAATATTCTATGCATAAACAAGAATTTGTATGTGTGTATGTGTAGCCCATGTGTTGCCTCTGTTACCATGCCTCGCTTTCTGCATGTACCTGTGTATTTTGGAGGTTGTCCATTGCTTTCTCAGTCTTTTCAGTGGCTCCGTGGTATCCCATAGTATAGTCACACTGCAGTTTCTTTAACTAATTTTTTGCTGAACACGGCCTTCATGTGACTATAGATAATACCAGTGAACAGTCGGGCCTCCATGTTCTCATCTGTTCCCACATGTGCCAGTGTATTCGTGGGATAATTCTTAGAAAAGGACTTTCTAGGTGAAAGGGGTACAACTGTTGACATCTTACCAGTAATATAAAATTGTAGTGTGATAGTTATTTTTTTTTCAACCTGGCAGAGTCTTAGCAACCTGTTAGTCTTCTTGCCACCTCTTTCCAGATGAAGAAACGTTAGACCTGGACAGACAAACTGACTTACCCAGGAGCATGCAGTTGGCTCAGGAAGTGCTCAGACCAGAAACTGGTTTTCCTGGCTGCCCTTTTTATGTTTTCCCTTCCTATTTAGTACCGTTAGAATTGCTAAAAGTTTATCTGCTTTTTTTTATTCGGTTTTTTGCAGGTGTTTGAGTCATCATATTTTTGTAACGGAAGGGTTTCTAATTGCAATACAGAAGAGAAGCATTCATTTCCCTGAATAACATCTCAGTGTAGAAATCCAGTCACTATCCCCTGGCCTTTCTCTTCTGCTGGTCTCACAGAAGCATTGAGGTCTAGGGCCTGACTAATGTAATCGTGTTGGCCAGTGAAATGTGTTACTCGCTAAAGGTGGTTCACGACTGTGACCAAGGCCCTGATGTAACCTGGGAATATGGAGAGTTCTAAGAAGAAAGTATATCCAAAGTAATGATAATAGTTCATCAATAAGTCGTGAGTGTGAAAGTGTGTGTGCATAACTGCTTCAACCCTGTCTCTAAATCATTTGGTAAAAGTAAAAAGAATCCTAAGGAGGATTTTATTTGCTATAAAATACAAAAATTTTAATTACCTGTTTTTGAACAAACTTTCCAAGCCAGCTTGTCTTTTGTATTTTTTGTTTTGAAATTTCTCCTAACCAAAATAGGATCATTGGATCAAACTGCCGTATGCACTTAATATATGTCTTGTCTTGTCACTTTAGCAGAGAGGACTTGGTTTTAACACGGGCCATGAAGTACAGACACATGAACACACACACACATAGAACACTCATCTTTATTCTTCCTTCAGCTGCATACATTAGTCTGTATAAAATGCCTCTTAGAACATTTTCTTTCAGATTTATTTACTGTGTACAGAGCCATATAATTAATTTCTTTCTTACTACATTATTTTTTGTTTAGAGACACTAAATACCTGTGTTTTTTAAAAAGTCTGAGAAGTTGCAGAGTTAAATGCAGGTCTCCCTGACAAGGCTGACCCTCAGTGCTGCCCGCACCGCACCTGGGGCTTCTGAGGGAGAAAGAAGGTTCTTTGGTCAGGGCCTGGCAGACTCACTCAGTAGGTGTTGGTTTGACTGTGCCAGTCCAGGCGGAGGGAGGTTTCAGTGGGCGAGTGCTCCTATTGCCCGCAGCAGAGGTGCCCTGGTGGTAGCTTTATGTCCTGGTGGCTCCAGTGCTCCTGGCCCTCGTCCTCACGCCCCCTCTGCAGGCTCACCCACTTTGCTCTGCTTCTGTTGGTAGCTGGGCACCTTCACACGTGCGTGTCCACAGGCATGGCTAATACACTCAGGGTTTTTACCAGATTTTTCTCAGGTAAACTCGGACTTAATATAGGTGACAAGGTGGCCTTTTCTCTTAACTTCTTTCTGTGTTTTTCTGAAGAAATGATAACATTTAGGAAACGCTAACTGGGTAAACTTGGATGGCACTGTAATTATTGGTTTGTTACTTAAGTTATTATTATGCAGTTAAATCCAGCGTCTTCCACATTTGATGCCAGACTGGATCATGTCCATTCTAGGCCCTGCAGAAACCTTAAGAGTTTAAAGTATTCATTTTAGAGAACAAGTGCATAAATCTTTAAGACGTCTCATTATATCCAAGAAATGACATGTGCCTGAAATCTTTATAGATGAGCATAGTGAAGCATGGTATTTGCTTGAAAACCACATAATAAAAGAAGTGTGAGCCACTAACATTTCACCATTAAATTTATATTATGCTTGTTGAGTTGTTTGGATCTTGCTTTAGTACTGCACGATGCATACATGATAGAATTAATTCAGCAGAGAGTGACTGAGTCCCTGCGTTGTGTGAGGTAGTGTCTGAGGTGTGGCAGAGACAGCACTGAAGCAGATGGGAAGAGCTCCTGCCTTTGCAGAACCCACTGTACTGGGAAGTGGGTAGATCATAAACACATAGGCAAGCACGGAATGTGGGCTGTGATGGGTGCCAGAGAGAAAAATAAAACACATGCGATGGTGAGTGCCAGCCCGCGAAAGGCGGTTGCTTTGTATGAACTTGTAGGAGGCCGCCCTGGTGCTGTGATGTCAGAGCAAACAAGAAGGGCTCAGCCAGGCCGCTACCCTAGGTTGGCATGCTGAGTCCACAATATTTTGCTGGTTTGTCTCTGTAATTTGTTTTGAACAAATGTCAGAGAATACATTGTTCAAGTTCCAAATCCTAGGCCTCCCTCAAGTAACCTCACAACTTCTACCATTCCATGGAAGGTAGCGATACTCCTCTCACCGTGTTATTGATAGAAAGTGTCACAGCTCATAGAGGGAGAAGTGACATGAATGAGAGCATCAATCTGTTTGATATGTGTGGAAGAGCGAAGCCAAGAACTACAGCACACTCACTGATTTCTGGTGAAAGGAAGAATTCATCAAGAAAGACCACACTCAGTCAACTGCAAAAGACTGAAATCTCATACATGATATTATCTGACTTCAACAGAATTAAATTAAAAATGAGGGGCCGGGGATTTAGCTCAGTGGTTTCACCGCCTGCTGCGCAAGCGCAAGGACCCGAGTTCAATCCCCAGTACCAAAAAAAAAAAAAAAATGAGTAACAGTAGGAGAGCAAATGTTTAGAGCTGAATGATAAAAATGTGTTTTGGGGAACGGCCGATGTCTAATCTATAGGGTTGGAGAATTACATTGTGTTATTATATACTCAGTTAAGTAATGGTAGAGTTACAGGTTTGTTTTATTTCTGAAAGTAGCCTGAGTAGATTTTAGCATTTTAAAAACCTGTACTGTCTGCTTGAGAAAATCATTTAATTCCTTTAAGCCTTGGTCTCCTTATTTAAAATCACATGTTCAGGCCTTTATTAATATTACCCCTGACATTCAGTAAGTAGCTGCTATTATTATTACCATCTCCAGATCTTTCACAGATAACATCTTTTAATCAGAAACAAAATATTTACAGACACAGTACCTCAGCAAGGCAGGCAACACCATGTCCACAGTCAAAGGTGTGTAAGGAGGCTTCTCAGAATCAGCAGGCGTAAGCACGGGTGCTGTGGCTGACTGACTCTGAGCAAATCCCTACTTCTTGAAAAATAACCTTATCTTCAAAGTGAGGAGAGCAACCATAGTGCCAAATGCTGTCTGAGTTATGCTTTGAGGATGGGATGAGACAATGTAGTTTTAAGTAATTGAAAAAAAAAGTGCTACCCAAATGCACTTAGCATAAGAGCTGGTTTTAAGCATGTTTCTCGATTGGTTAGTACCCAGCTCAACACCTTGAATCTAGTAAATATACATTTGTTGTTTGCATTGTTAATGGATGCAGTGTACTGTTTTCTTCCTTCATACTTGACATTTGATGTATGTGTAACCCTTTGGTATGTGAATTTTGAGCTTTTCACTTATTGCTATCATAGAAAAAACAATTGTAAAGCTGGTATATACTTAGTCCTCTCTCTTGTTTTAGGAATGGAATATCACTAAACTTTCGATTGAGTATGATTCAGAGCCCTTTGGAAAGGAACGAGATGCAGCTATTAAGAAACTGGCTACTGAAGCTGGAGTAGAAGTCATTGTACGAATTTCACATACGTTATATGACCTAGACAAGTAAGGTTTGCTTTTGTCTTGCTTTGTTTTGTGTTTTGTTTTGTTTTGTTGTGTTATACTAGGGATTGAACCCAGGGCCTTCACACTAAGCTATATCTCTAGCCCATTTTTAAAATTATTTGTTTATTTACTTAAATTGTTATTACCCCATGTTTGTAGTACATAATGATTACATTCATTGTGGGGAATTGGTACATGTAATATGCATTTTTTTCTCCTTCTCCTCCCTTTTATTTTTTTGGCCAGCATCAGATTCATTTTATTGTTTTTTATTTTGAGACAGGGTTTCACTAAGTTGCAAAATTGCCTGTTCTAGGCTTAGACTTGATTTTTTTTTTGGTGTAATTATCAGCCTGGTTTAGTTTGTATCAGTGATTGAGAGATCCCTTGAGTTGGGTTTTAATGTGTTTTTTATATGTTCATATATATTAATTTCTTGTTATTGCCTTTAGACTAAGGTAGCCAGTTAGTTGGTTTTCATAAGTCCTTAATACTCTTTGTTTTAGTGGTTTTGGTACCTGCATACTGTCTATTTTTATACCTAACAAAAGTCTAGAAAATGAAGAGAATGATCTTAAACTATTAAGCGTAGTGAATACATTTTCTAGTCATGTAGAAGCTAACATTCTAAGTCTTAGGTGATAGATTTTATTTTCTGATTCTGAGCCTTTTCAGAGCTTATCAACCAAAATGTATCATCCTTCTTTGCCAACTGCATTTTACTCTCCTAATAGGATCATAGAACTCAATGGTGGACAGCCGCCTCTAACTTACAAAAGATTTCAGACACTAATCAGCAAAATGGAGCCACTGGAGATTCCAGTGGAGACCATTACGTCCGAAGTGATAGAAAAATGCGTGACTCCTCTGTCTGATGACCATGATGAGAAATACGGAGTTCCTTCCCTGGAAGAGCTGGGTATGTGTGAGTTGCTCTGCGTGTGGACTTCAGGAGCTAATCAGTCATGAATCACTCAGAAAATTCCACACCTGATTTTGCCAAGTAAAGTAGTTTGCAGTAAGAGAGAAAGAAAGAAAGAAAGAAAAAAACTCATAAAGTAAGTGATAAATCTTCTGAGGATGTAGCTCAGTGGCACTGCGCCTACCTGGCAAGCGCAGGTCCTGAGTTCGATTCCTAGTACCAAAAAAATAAAGAATCTGTGCATTATTTATGTATTTTATAAATATGTGATCTGTTGTCATCACATTAAGATGTACGTACATCCTACAGAGTAGAGACTGTCATAGCCTCTCTAAGTGAGGGCCTATCCAGGCCATCCATTATTATTCTGTTTTCATAATTTTTCTGTAAAGTAATTTGTCCTCTCAGATACTGTGCTTAAATAAGAACTGTGTTTCCGAAGAATAATGTATCTTTTTTTCCTTCCTTTTCTTTTTCCTCTTTATTCTTTCCTTACGCCGTTTCTTCCTTCTTTCCTTCCCCTCCCTCCCTTCCTTTCTTCCTTTCTACCTACCTTCCTTCTTTCTAGGTTTTGATACTGATGGCTTACCCTCTGCAGTGTGGCCAGGAGGAGAAACTGAAGCACTTACACGTTTGGAAAGGCATTTGGAAAGAAAAGTATGATAATACACCCACCCTCATACTTCTAAATTGGCATTTTAAAAATTATTTTACTTTCTTTTAAAAGTTAAAAATAGACTTGAAAAAAAGAAGGGTTTGCGAGTTAACAACTAGCTGATCGTTTAATGCCCTTTGTCCCCTCTTTTGCTGTTTCTCCTTGGCTACTACCATACTGTTCTCTTCTTTCTCTCTAAGCTTGTGTCAGAAGACCATAACTTTGAAGGAAGAACAGAATTCTTCTCCGGCTGTTCTCCCCTGGGGAGACATCCCAAGACCTGTGGGTGCCCTAAACTGTGGATAGTCTTGAACCTCATAGACACTGTTTTTTCCAGTACGAACTACTTGTAATAGAGTTTACTGTGTAAATTAGGCAAAATGAGAGATTGCCACAATAACCCATGATAGGTAGAATAATTATAACAATAAACTAATGAAATTTAAAACTGTATTTTCCATTTAATATTTTATGATCATGGTTGACCCTGAGTATCTGAAGCCTTGGAAAGTGAAACTGGACAAGGTGGGGCCAGCACTTTTCCCTTAGATTGGGGCTGCCCTCGGCCTTGGGCTGGGAGTCCGGTTTCTCACATGAGTGTTGCATGAGGGTGTCTAGAAGAAAAAATGTTCACTTTTTAGGCTTTTTTAAAATTGAAACATGAAATTTATGGCTAAGATAATAAGTTATTCCCTAAGAACTGGGTAACCTATTAAAAAATACAATTTTGAATATAGTGATACCTTGGTTGTTGAACTCAATTTGTTCCAAATTCATGTTGGAACATTGAAAAGTTTGAGAACTGAACATATTTTTCCTGTAAGAAATAATGGAACACCAAATAATTGGTTCTGAGGCCCAGAAGTTACACTTATAAATTTATTTTTCCGGGGCTGGGGTTTAGCTCAGTGGTTTCACCACCTGCCCCCAAAAGCACAAGGTCCTGAGTTCGATCCCCAGTACCAAAAAAAAAAAATTATTTTTCTAGGAATTTAATAAATTAACTCTATTGTGGTTCTCATGGTTTTCCTCTTAGCTTTACTGCCGGTATCACTAACTTTCTTTGGAGCCATATTTTACCCAAATAAAGCGAAAAATGTTTTAAAAGCCCAATGAGGAGTGTTTTAATGCCCCAACACAAGCGCTGTGCGCATCTGAGCGAGAGTGTTGCTCACACTGACACACTCAACCCGTGACTCACTCTTGGCCCCTGCAGGCTTGCTCAGGTCGGATTTTTCATTCAACTATAGAGCAAAGTTACCAACACCTAGCAGATTTTTTTCGAACTTTGCTCTTCAAGTACTATCACTGTTCTTTTATTTTTAGAAAAGAAGAGGCAGTTGGATGATGTGATTTTTTCTCTTCTCAGGCTTGGGTGGCAAACTTTGAAAGACCTCGGATGAACGCTAACTCCCTGCTCGCGAGCCCTACTGGGCTCAGCCCTTACCTCCGATTTGGTTGTTTGTCCTGTCGGCTGTTTTACTTCAAGCTAACAGATCTCTACAAAAAGGTATTATCTTGGGGCCGGGGATTTAGCTCAGAGGTTCCAGTGCCTGCCTCGCAAGTGCAAGGTCCCGAGTTGGATCCCTGGTACCAAAAAAAAAAAAAAGTATTATCTAAAGTGAGACCTTGTTTTTCAAAGTACTCTTTTAAAAATTGCTAAGAATATTTCCTTGCATTTCAATCATAGGTAAAGAAGAACAGTTCCCCTCCCCTTTCTCTTTATGGACAACTACTATGGCGTGAATTTTTCTACACAGCAGCAACAAATAATCCCCGCTTTGATAAGATGGAAGGAAACCCCATCTGTGTTCAGATTCCTTGGGATAAGAATCCCGAGGCTTTGGCCAAGTGGGCAGAGGGCCGGACGGGCTTTCCGTGGATCGATGCCATCATGACCCAGCTCCGCCAGGAGGGCTGGATCCACCACCTGGCCAGGCACGCGGTCGCGTGCTTCCTGACGCGCGGGGACCTGTGGGTGAGCTGGGAGGAAGGGATGAAGGTAGGCATCTGGCTAGTGGGGTGTGGTTGGGCTTCAAAGGGGCTCTTCCCACATCTTACTTTCAAAATCCTAGAGGTTACCCATTCATTCATAGACTAGTTTTTAATGATAAGCGTATAATCCCCATAATACAGACACACTTGGAGAGCAGAATGGCAAAATCATTGCCACTTTAGTGAAAACTGGTTAAATTGATTAACCTCATTTCAGTGGTTAAGTGAACTACTAAGCTTTAATATTCAGGTTTTATTGGAAGATATATTTGTAGGTGATCATTTCTGTCACAAAATAGATTCACCTAAGAGTTCTTAGAAATTCATATTATAAATTTTAAAATATAAAGCATTTCACCTTACTTAACCATCACAGCTTTATCGCGGTACTTATTTATGTAAAAGTAAATCATGCTGATTTTGGTGGCATCATCTGGTGATTATACTAAAAGGATTTACATATGTTTTACCTTTCTGGCTCTATCATATATTTTCCCTATCCAAGGACCATTTTTTTTTTGGTATCTGGGATTGAACTCAGGACCTTGCGCTTGAGGGGCAGGTGGCAGAACCACGCTGAGCTAAAGCCCCGGCCCAAGGACCATTTATGATCCTGGTGTTTTGTTTTGTTTTTTGTCTTTCATATTTCCTAGCACAGAGTTATATGTGAAAAAGATGTATAGCCCCTAATTCATAAATTTAAGAAAAATCATTTAATTCTATTTCCCTTTGGGTCAAGGAATTTGAGATTAAACCATGTACCACACATCAACATTTTTGTTGGTGATTTTGGGGTAGCATTTTTGCTTTCTTGTAAGCAGTTTACTGCTTTTTCTCTACTAATATCCTACTGTCCTTCAGAATCAGTAACTTAAACAATTTTTGCCCTCCCCACGCAGTAACACTGCAAAGGATGGAAAAGTAAATTCTATTCAGAAAGCTACGGATAGCACCCCTCTACTTCTCTCCCTTGAAGAGCACATTATAGAACACAGCATTTACAAGGAAGCGTTGGGGTGTTTAATTTCATAGGTCTGTGCTAGGTTCTCTTTGCCTGACTTCCTCTACAGTGACCTCAAAAATGCTTGCTTTGAGAATTGTGTGTGTGCAAACTAATCGGTTACTGTTACTTCTGAAGGTATTTGAAGAATTACTGCTTGATGCAGATTGGAGCATAAATGCTGGAAGTTGGATGTGGCTATCTTGTAGTTCCTTTTTCCAGCAGTTTTTTCACTGCTATTGCCCTGTTGGTTTTGGTAGGAGAACAGATCCCAATGGAGACTATATCAGGTAAATCAAGGGTGATTGTTACTGAGTTTTGAATAGCTAATCCAGGAAGAGCTTTTCATATTTAAGCAACGTTAAGTGTTCCTCACCCATGATGGGCAGCAGAGAGGAGACGGGGAAACAGATCATTTAAATGGTATTGATTTGACTTTGGTCACTGACAGCTAGTGATCTGCTATAGTTTGCCTATGGTGCATTTTATTAATAACTTTTCTTCCTTTTCCTAAAAGGCGCTATTTGCCTGTCCTAAGAGGCTTCCCTGCAAAATATATCTATGATCCCTGGAATGCACCAGAAGGCATCCAAAAAGTAGCCAAGTGTTTGATTGGAGTGAATTACCCCAAGCCGATGGTGAACCACGCTGAGGCCAGCCGCCTGAACATCGAGCGGATGAAGCAGATCTACCAGCAGCTCTCGCGATACCGAGGGCTAGGTGAGCAGCACTCTTGCGTGTGCCCCTGCGGCAGCTGCTGTGTGCCTGCCATTGATCCACACTAATCTCACAGGAGATTTTGTCCCCTGCAGGTCTTCTTGCATCAGTTCCTTCCAATCCTAATGGGAATGGAGGTCTCATGGGCTACGCTCCTGGAGAGAGCATCCCAGGCAGCAGCGGCAGCGGAAGTGAGTGATACCAGTGACAGGCGGAGACTTCTAATCATGTATATTTCTTACTGAACTGTGCTGTAATAGGTTCTGTTTAAAAATCTATGTTTAAAATTGGTGCAATAGGTTCCTTTACAAATGCATGTGTTGTGTGCACATCCACATGTCCCCTCTCCACGGGTGACATTTAAAAGCTGGAAAATGTCATTACATGACATAAATTGAAACCCAAATGCTGTATTTTTCAGAGTGCTCATTGTCTTTTACCATCTTGAGGGGCATGTCAGCTCTGCGGTAGTTAAGGAGGTCAGCAGTCCAGGGAGCAGGCCAGAGGCATCACCATGTACATGATAGGCCCGCTGGTCCTTGTGCGCCTCAGGCTTTCTTATAGTCTGTTCTGTGGGTGTCCTCTAAACGTGCACGATAGTCAGTATATATTGGAAATTTGAATCATTTTATCAGTTTTCTAAAGTTCTAACTATAGTATGAAGCTAAGTAATTTGATTAAAAACAAGACAGTGTTTGAGAAATGCTTATTTTTTAAATCATGTATTCTAAATTGATATTAAGAATAAAACCTTTTTTAAAATTGAACCATTTCAGAATTCCACATTATCCTTCATCCTTGTAGAAAGCAGCCTTTGTTTGGCCTCCAGGCATCAGTACCAAGAGAAAGGAACAAGGGTAGTCAGGTTCTGCCTGCCGCCCTGTGCCACAGTGGGGTTTTCACCTGCGCCCTCCAGAAGCCCTTAGGCCCGGGCTGGGGGTCGACCTGGAGAGGCTCAGTCGCTCACCGGGCCCTTGGCTCTGTTTCGTTCCTGGGTGTACTTCCCTCACAGCCAGTGAGGCCGTGTGCTTCACGCTTAGCTTACCCTTTCTCAGGTCTCCTGGAATTGAAGTCACCTCACAGAGTGCGCTTTCTAGTTCTCCCAGATCTCCTGCTCTGTTCTCAGCCACTGTCGGCCCCACACGTGTGCAAGGGGCAGAGCTCTGTGGAGCAGGAGGTGACAGCAGGGAGCAGGATGGGGGACAGTGGTGCACACTGTCTTGGCTCACACAGGTTGTAGTGACCTTCAGAGCAAGCGCAGGAGCAAGTTAGTTGGGATAATTTTACATAACACATTTGTAAACTTAAGGTGGTTATGGTATGGGAGGGTGACAGTAATCCTGTAGCTCACTTTGGAGCTGGGTTCAATCCCGCTTTCATAAGACATAAAAGTGTATAATGGGTGTTGGGAAATGGGAAGAAAATGCTCAAATGGGAAGGGAACAAGGGAGGAGGGAGGGAGAAAGGAAGGAGGGGACAAGAAAAATGAACACAGAAGGAAAATGGAAACAAAGCTTTTGTACATGGGGAGGGGAGGGGGCTTGAGGGGAATGGGATAAAATAAAATTTATTGATAAAAATGTATTTGACCAAAAAAAGACATAAAAGGTATAAAAATGACATAGACCTTAGGGTCTAAGTGGGATGTGGAGGAGAAAAAACAAATGAGGAAAGAAGAGATTACGGAGAGCCCAGGAGACCCAGGAGACCGGAGACGTTTTCTTGGAAGGTGGTGGGCGGGGCAGCCCTGGCTGATCCACTGGAGGAGAGGACCTGCTAGCCGAGCTCGCTGGGGGCTCTGCGCCTGCGCTTTCTCGGACTCCTGTGCAGGCAGAGTGCTGCACACGGCCTGGCCAGCAGAGTCTTTAGGACTTTTATGGTGGGGAGGATAAGGGACTGGAAAATTCTTATCTCTGCAGTACAAACTGCATGTTTCTTCTCTCCTTATAATTGGTGTGTGTGCACTCGGGAAAGGAGTAAGCAGTGCACAGCTGCCGCAGTAAGTCTCCAGTCCCCACCTGCCCAGTATACGATGCAGGCCTGAGAAAAAAATAGACTAAGAGACAGAATTAGGAGGGAAAGCGGGGTCCAGGACAACCAATGCCGGTGCAACTGACGAAGGCTCTGGCCAGTCTCAGGCACTGAGTTTTATTGGCAATCAAATGGGGTAAAGGCAACATGTGGTTTCTATGGAAATTAGTGTAAACGAGGCTCATAAAGAACAAGACAAAGCAGTCTTGAATTAAGAACAGACTAGACAAAATATATGATTGTAATTAGAATACTGTCCATCTAGGCAGAAGGTTTTAGTTGTGGGAACGGAATTTGGGTGCGAGTTACTCTGACCTCAGTACGTGGGCTTCAGCCAGACTCACTTCTTTAAACAAGCCAGCCTGCCTTGGACATGATCAGTATTATGATCCTCTGCATATAGCAGTCTTAAAGTACTTTTATTTTTATAATAAAACAGACCACAGGGCCAGGGAGCGCAAGGTCCTGAGTTTGATCCCTGGTACCAAAAACTAAAAAGTAAAACAGACTACAGTGTTTGCTGTAGCAGTGTGTTTTAGTTTTTACTTATTTTTTCTGTTATAAGCTATCTGTTTTTCACATTATTAGTCATTCAGCAGATTCAGAGTAGAAACTTTGTGAGGTAACACTGTACCCTGCCTGGCTGATGGGTGTTCTGGGACCCGGGACTGTCAAGGCTGTCGCCCGGAGAGGAGCAGCAGACTGGGGCAGGGCAGTCACTACCCGCTAGAACGGCTAAGGTGAACACAAGAGGTCCGGGTATTGTGATGGGTGTGAATCATGGCACCTGCCTGGGAGGCAGGTGTAAGATGGTACAGCTCCCTGGGAAAAGCGTGGCACTTAAAAAGCTTCCTGTACAATCCAGAAGTTCCCTTCCCAGTGTCTGCCCAAGTGAAATGAAAACATGTCCACACACAGGCTTATCGACAACTGCACGTAGCGCCCTCATTTAGCACAGTCAGAGCAAGGCAGCCGTGCAGCTGAGTGCTGTACATGAAGAGGGGGAGACACCAGGGTGTGCCGGGCCTTAGCCGGACACAGAGGCTGCACGTGCCCAGCACCCTCTGTGGGCGGCACAGCTGCAGAGGTGAGGTGGCCAAGCTCACCTGGGCAGGAGGAGGAGGGGAATGAACGCAGGGGGTCCGTGAGGGCTCTTTTTGGAGTGATGGAAAATGCTCTGAAGCTGGACTCTGGTGGTATTTGCAGAACTCTGTAAATTTCTAAAAATCACTGAATTATACACTTAAAATAGGTGAGTTTTATAGTCTGTGAATTATACCTCAAAGCTGCTAAAAACAAACAAGACTATTCACCAGACAGAAAATCTCAGAAAACTAGAAAAGAGGGAGAACAAACCCCACAATCCTAGCTAATAGGGACAGTCACTATTCAAATTTCAGTGTGGCCAGGTGTGGTGGTGATCACCTAAAGTCCCAGCACTCGGGTAGGCTGAGGCAGGAGGGTACAGTAAGTTCAAGCTTAGCAAGACCCTGTCTCAAAAGCAAAAGTCAAGAAAAAATGTAAAAAGGACTGGAGTATACCTCAGTGCAAAGGCCTGGGGTCTATCCCTAACACTACAAAGAATATTTTATTCAGTGTATTTCATTTCAGTCTCTTGTGCAGTTTTCTCTTCCACAGTAATTAAATCAGGATATTATTTAAATATCCTTTTGGTGCTATTGATGGTGTAACACGATGAGGAAAAGTGATCAGGTAAACTTTCTGTCCTTTTAAAACTGTAACTAAAAAGCAAATATCGTGTTAGGGGGTGGAGTTACTAGAGATTCAGCCCAAGGCCTTGCACAGGGCAAGCCCTCTGCCACTGAGATACATCTCCAGCACTTTTTAAAATTTTGAGGCAGGGTCTCACTAAGTTGCCTGGGCTGGCCTTGAACTTGTAATCTTCCTGCCTCATTCTCCTGAGTAGCTAAGGTTACAAGTATGTACCACCACATGAGAGAGACAGTTATCTTCACTTTACAACTCCCATCTTATATTCTCTCTGCTTTTTTGTTTGTTTTTTTGTGACAAGATCTTCTTATGTAGTCCAGGCTGGCCTTGAACTCACTATATAGTGTAGGCTGACCTTGAACTCACAGCAGTCCTCTTGCCTCAGCCTCCCAAATGCTGGGATTACAGGTGTGCACCACCATGCCTGGCTCTCTCAGCATTTTAGACTTGAACTGCAGTAGTGACCCTGAAGACCTGTGAGTACAAGGGTGTGTGGCTTTCGTGAGTGACTGCTGTTACATAGTAAGCTAATGGATCAGCAAAACTCCCATCTCCTACACTGCTGCTCCCTGAAGGCAGAATTGCCTGTGCTTTGTGGAGGAGTCACAAGCTATGGTGATTTTCGTGCATTTAGCTCTCCAAAGAAATATAATGCCATTTTAAGAAAATTCAATGTGTTTATCAAGTTTGTTAATTTTTCTTCTCCTTTGTGAAGGTAATCGTTTTCCTGATTTTTTTTTTTCGGTACCGGGGATGGAACTCAGGACCTTGCGCTTGTGAGGCAGGCTCGGCACCACTGAGCTACATCCCCAGCCCATTCTCCTGATTTTTTTTTTTGGTACCGGGGATCGAACTCAGGTTCTTGAGCTTTCGAGGCAGGCAGTGGAACCACTGAGCTAAATCCCCGGCCTCTCTCCTGATTTTTAATATTAGTTGTGTCTGTTGTAGAAACTGAGGCATCTAGCTTCTATTTTGTGTCTGAGGTTATTCTCACTCTCGCAGTCCTAGAAGAAGGCACAGAATTGACAAGCTCATGAAAATGCACCCCGAGGGACCTCGTGTCCAACCTGTCCTGGGACCACATCTCTGACCTTTCTTTCAGAGTCACCCTGCATCCACCTCTGCATCTGTGCCAGCACCTGACCACCCTCCTTGTCCTTGGCTGTTTTCCTCTCCTCACCGGCCTGCAAGCCCCTTGCAACAGACCCAAGTCCTGGTCACTTCTGTCCTTGAATAGGCAGATGCTCAGCCAGTGTGTGGCCTGATAACTGAGGGTAGGGGCTGGTTTTTATCACGGTGCAGCACAGGTGACGTGAAAGGCCATCTTGTCCACTCCTGAGTGTCCAGCTGCCCAATGGTGGCCTTGGCACATTCACAGCCGGTGAAGGTCTAAACGTGGTTGCGGCACTGGTGACCGCAGGTCGCTGCCGGGGGAGCTGGCTGAGGTCAGGAAGAGCAGGCATGGCACCCTCAGTGTCTGCTTCAGCCGGACGCCAGGGCAGGTGTCGGGATAGTAGAGGTGACCGCCCGCTCGGTGACAGCGGGCTGGGAGCTGTACAGTGAGGCATCAGCAGGTAGTCTGTTACCGCAGAGGACACCTTCCGTCTGCACAGTGCCTTGGTGATCAGTGTCAGGCCTCCAGTTTCCACCTGTGAACACCTGAAAAGCTGCATTCTCTATGCAGGAAGACTAAGGAGCATAAGATAAAAATAAGGCCATGGTCTGTGCAGGCCCAGGGTGCCTGTCCAGCCAGGTGCACCCTCCCCTTCTCTCAGGCGCCGTAGGATCAAGCTGTCACGCTTGCGTCCGGCAGCCCTGTTCCCTGTCTCTGAGGAACGCTGTCCAGGGAGGCTCTGAGGAGGACATGGAAGCAAGTGGGGAAGAAGCCAGGGAACGAGGTCTCAGTGTCACCCCTCTGCTACGTCATGGTAAAGGGTCTGATCGTCACCTGGTGAAGAAATGTTTCGTAGAAAACGATTATCCATGATTTGGTTTTGCCTTGAACTGTGAATATTTCTGCGAGCTGAAATTGAAGTTCCTGATTGGGCGTGTGATTTTGGGGTCATAGAGAGAATTGAAAAAAGTATAAGTATATCAATGAATTTAAGTACTCAAAATGGGACTTGTAGTCTTGATACATACATCTCAGATTTGATTCTAAGTCACTTTACTGTTTGACTACCGCAGGTTGTGCCCATGGGAGCGGCATCTTACCCTGTGCTCACACAGACGGTCAGCAGGCTCACCTGTTGAAGCCAGGTAAGGCAGAGGCCCTGGCGCCCGCGTTGCCCGCTGCCTTCCTGTCCTCAGCAAGCCATTTCCGGTGTGCAGGGCGGAACTGTGTGGGCCCGGTGCTCAGCAGTGGGAAGCGGCCCAGTCAGGAGGAGGACGCGCAGAGCATCGGCCCCAAGCTCCAGCGGCAGAGCACTGACTGACCCGGTAACTAATGCTGAGCCTCTTGCTGACAAGAGTGCATCACTGACTTAAATAACTTCCAAGGTGGAGCACGTAAATTCTTAGTGATTATTACAAAATCAGTTAATTATGGGACCCGAGAGGTGAATTGTCCTGCGCAAAGTGCTGCGATCAGTGACCTTTAAATCCAGAAAGCTTAGAGGAAGAACTTTTTCGTTTCCTTCCCATGTGTCTGACTAAGTGGCCTCCTCTGTGGATGCATTAACATAGTCCTTTTATGAGCTTTCCACCAAATTTTGCCTTTTAAATATACATTTCTTTTATCTTTGTGCTGCTTCTAAAATCTAAATTCATTCCAGTTAAATTTTTTAAATGCCCTTTCTGGAAATATTAGAAAAAACCATGCCTGCATGCAGTTTAATTGGGTTTGGGATGCTCTTTTGATTTGAATTATTATGAAAAGTATTTCTGAGGTGCATTTGCCAGTTTTAAAGACTTTGTCTCTTCAGTTATTTTAGACTGTTACATTTTTGTGATCTTCTCATGCCAACCTAGTTACAATTTAAATTTCTTGTTATCATTTAATTCTTTGTGCTTATACTTTCTTGTCTTTTTTCTCTTAAATCATAGAGAACACTCAGAAGGAATACTGTTGCAGCTGAAATTGATGGGAGAGCAGTACCTTTCAATTAAGTTATTTAAAAATATTCTTCATTGATGGAAAGCAGTTACATTTTGAATGCATTATTTCTAATGACATTTCTGTGGTTTGTAACTTTTTAACGAATTTCACATAGGACAAGTGGTAATTTGTATATAAAGAAGTTGGTAACAGAATTTGCTTAATGTAAATACAGTCAAAGTTAGTATAGACCCATCGATATATTTTTGATAATTTTTCATGTATGGTAAAAGTTTAAGTTGCAAACTGATATTCTGATATAAAACTCAAACATTTTGAGAGTTGATGTGGAAAAATAGGAGGTTTTTAGACTTTCTTAAAAGACTTTGTTAAGATTTTAGGACAAAACTTTCTTGACAACATGGTTTGACCTAACTTTGGACTCTTTCATAATAATGTTTCAGAAATATATATAATCAGAATTAGTAGGTGCTGCCTCTGTTAACACACAGTGTGCTTTAAAGTCTAATGTATGCCTAAGCTGTGGAAGGACCGTGTGTTAAAGCTCCTTGTCTCTCTGTTGTGATTCATTTACAGCTAAAGTGACTTTGTTATTAAAGTATATGCAAATAGGCAATCTGGTGTGCGTGGTTGCTTTTTGTTTCTGTAAGAGCGAGAGCATTGCTGTGCGAGATGTAGTTGCCATTACAGAGTCGGTCACCCTTCTGAATGAAGGAACAGTTACCATATATTCAGTGAGATAGCATTTTTCAAAATTGTCTGGAAGACTGAAAACCAAAAAGCTTTTGTCATTTAATGGGGTTTCTAACTTAAGTTAGCCTGCATGGGAGAGCAGTTACGAGTGTGGGTTCTGGGGTGAGATACCTGGGTTTGCTGCTTCATAACTTTGTGGTCTTAATTACGACCTTGCCTTAGTTGCTCTTCTCAATGCTGAGACAAAATATCCGACATGCAAAGTTAAAGGAGGGAGGTTTATTTGGCTCACAGTTTGTATGGTTTCTGTCCATAGTCCGGTGGCTCCAAGGCTGGGTGGCATGGAGAGGGGCATCGCAAAGGAGAAACAGTTCATGGCTGGCCAGGGCAGGCAAGCAGGCAGGGAAGCAGCACGTGGTGGCAGCAGCCTTCTGTCTGTCCCCGATATTCCATCCAGGCTACCCGCCCTGAGGGTGAGCAGCCCTCACACCCAGGGTGGGGCACCTTTAATGCCAGCATCACGCACTCTAGACCCAGACACCTCCAGGAATCCCACCTATGACTGCATGAGGCTTTTGGGGGGCATCGAGACACAGCCATAACACACCTTAACCTTCTGTGCCTTCTCTGTTTCATCCATCAAAGGGGGATGAGAATACCTGGTGAAAGCATTGAGCTGCTTCCTAGTTCAGTCCATGTAAAATGGTCCTGTCAGTGCCTGGCACATGGTCAGGTACTGAATAACTATTAGCTACTGGGCTGCCATGCTGTGTAGCTCCCTGGATTGTGCAGTGCACAGCCTCTACAGCTGTATGCCTCAGCCCTGGTTAGCTGCCTTTAGTGATACTGCTGTTACTACCCCTTTGTTCTCTAGTAGGCTGGTTCTTACCATTCTGACTTGTAACCAGTGGTTTTTCATTTTCCTGTCTTCAGTAGTGCTGAATACTCATTTGAGAATTGTATTAAAAGGTAATTAAAGATAAATTTGAGTTAAAAATACAGAAACATAACATTTTTAAATTATCACATTTTAATGTTTTCGTGATAGACATATTTCACATCTTACTCTGTGGACCTGATTTTACCGTATGTAATTGAGAAATTCATAGACATGGGTTTATCAGCACTTCACATCACCATCAGGGGAAAGACTAATCATGTGAGCGTTTTAGCAAAAGAACACTAGCTGACCATGGGCACTGGTGGATCACATACAAACATGGGTGACGTTATTTCTGTATTTCACAAGATTTTTTTCAACAGCTGCTTCCATTTGGTTTGCATTGTGGCCAAAACGAATCACTGAAAGGGAAGGGGGCATCCATCGGTGTGCTTGAGTCGTACTTACAGACACAGGGTGATTTGCAGTACAGGATGACTACATTCACCGTGGTTAGGGGACTGGTGCATGGTGAGTGCTTTTCTAAAGCATTTTCAGCTGCCCCTTCAGTGCAGAGGAGCCGAGGAGCTGAGCACCGCAGGCGCCAACGCAGGGCTGCCCCACCCCCCGCCTCTGGCCACTGGGCCATGGCCAGCACCTGGATCCACACTGCAGAGGGGCAGTGGGTCAGAAAGGCCATTGTCCTGAGCTCCAGAAGAGAGAGTAGACATGAACAAGAGAAAGAGGCCTCTCTCAGGCTCCCTGATGAAAACTGAAGCCCACTGGAAAAGTGAAGAGACTCTGCAATGAAGGCACAGCAGACCACCGTGCTTGGTAAGGTGGAGGGATTAGCACCTCCCTTCGGCACCTGGACTATCCAGGGGAAGGGCAGCTGGAACCTGCAATAGAGCCTTGCAGAGTTCAACCCTGCAGGAGGTCAGAGATCTCAACCTGGGCCTTGCAGGCAGAAATCTGCCTGAACCTCAGGGGACAGCTGCTCGCTTGCTGAAACTAATTGACTTAGATCTGCACACTGCTGCCCACACTGTCTGTACCTTCAGCAGAGACATACCCTGAAGGAGGCCCTTTACTTTTATTTTTATATTTATTTATTTTTTATGGTACCAGGGATCGAACTCAGATCCTTATGCTTTCAAGGCAGGTGGTGGAACCACTGAGCTAAATCCCTGGCCCTCAATCCAGTGTTTTATTCCTGATGGTGTGTATAG